CTCATCTGTGTCATGTACTTGGTGAGGTACTTCTCCGAGTCCCCCTTTCCTTTATACTTGAGGATCTTAGGGGGTATAAAGTTCGTCGACATCCGTCGGATCTCCCTTGACCTTGAAAAATGGAGGTTACATCATCATCATCGATCTCATAAGATCGACAGGGCCCATCTGACCCTTCATTATCTTGAATATCCTGCGGAGGTGGAGGTGGAGGTGCTTCTCCTCGACTTTCCCAATCGACTAGGTTCCTTCTATCTCTCCTATTTCTAGGAGGAGGTGCATGTTCTTGTTCTTGGTCTTTTCGAACTGATCTTTGCACTGAGCGGGCCCTATTACTAGGGTCCTGTCCTGTTCGGTCGAAGACGCTTACTGATCTTTGTTCCTCATATTCTTGAGGAAAATTGTCCCTTAGCTGTGGTTCCGCTGACTGGCTTCCCTGCACATAAGATGTGGCTTCCGCGCCCACTTCTCTTTTGAGGGGGCGTTCTCTGTGCCGGCTCATATGGCCTTGGGAACGAGATACAGGGGCTTCCTGCACTAGGTAAGATCCTTGGGGCATTTAATAGTCCTGATGACCTTGGGCTTGCATGAGAACATGCATCGCTATATTCTGAGATGCGATGTCTCTCATGCCCGCCGCTATTTGAGCCATCCCTTTAGTGAGCATGACTGTTCTTGTACCTCGGTGATATCGGTGAATGGGTCTCTGGTGAGTGACATTGTTATGGAGCACCTCTTCTTCAGAAGCCTCTCTCATGGGATTGTCATCTTCATGGCTGGAACTCATTCTATCTTCTTTTTCAAGGGTGATAAGAATTTAGGATATAACTTGGCTTTGTTCTTTTTTAAGAACGTGCCCTTTTCAGGGTAAGCTGTTAGTTTTCCAGTGTTTTCTCCAATGGAGAATGTAGAACTTTGAACGGGAAGATTCCCACAGACGGCGCCAATCTGTTGGCCTCGAAAATTAGACCCCCCACGTGGCCAATCGATAGCCACTCCACGTATTCCTCCCTGCGCACAATCAACGCACGGTCAGATGCACATGGTTAGGACTGGCGGGGGTGGTGGCGACCGTATACACTCCGACGGTCAAGTTAGGCTCAAGTGATCGGAATAGTACCAAGGTTGTGCAAAATAATGGGGAGAAGAATATATATTTGCTTGCTATGGAGTGCTAAATAAGAAGAATTTTATTACCTTTGCCTATTGCCAAACCTTGGGTATTTATAGGTGAGGAGAGCCGTTGGATGTGAGACACGTGTATACATCTAACGATATGAGGCGTCTGCTCATAGGCGTCAATTAGCTGCGTCTGTAGAGCGGGCGGGTAATTACTTCTCCCGAGTTGAGTTGACATAAAGTTGATAGGTCACATCAACTAGTCTCATGGAGACGTCAAATCACTTTAAACCTTATTGGCATAAAAGATCTTGACTAAAATCTCATTATGAAATCGGCAGTGGATCCTCAGGCTGAGGTCCACGGGGATCATTTCGCCTCGGATTCAGGGGGGATAGGGCACTTCGGCCAGTCATGCAGAATTATCTATGCCTTGTAGTGTGATAGCAGATCATCTCAATTGGAACCACTTAGAAGAACCACTTCGTATGAGCGTTCCACACTTCGCCCGATGTGGTGGAGGACTTTGCGAAGTGAAACCACTTCGTATGAACTTTCCATACCTTGCCTGATGTGGGTTCAGTTAGGGGCGTAACAAGCACAATATATATATATAAGTTTATTCAAGTTCCAAGATAGCTCTTATGCACATGAACACTGTCATTCTTTGAAAACAATTGGATATGCTAATGTACATAATAGTAAAGAGGACTTGCATTCTTCTTCGTGAAGAATTGACTCTTATTCTTGAAAGAAGAGTTGGTAAATGAGTTGGTTTAGCAGGAGATCCATATCTGTTCTATGATTGGACAATTTCTTACATACCTGTATCCCCTCTTTGGAATAAACAACAACTACAACAAAAAAGCTTTTTGCAACGTTCAAAAAACGTTGCTGTAGAACTTTTGCAACGTTTGGACGTATGTTGCAAATCTCAGTGTCGTCATAGAGCATAAAAATACAACAACATTTTTTAAACGTTGCCATAGATATCAAAAAATGTGGCTGTAGATACTTACCGCAACATTTTTTAAATGTTGCGGTAGACACCTACGGTCACCTACGGCAACGTTTAAAAGCCGTAGGTTTCGCAACAGCTTTTTTTTTGTACAGTAATTTCTGTAAATTGACTCGTAAAATTGAAAGTGTCAAATTTTGTAATTACATAAAAATTGATAATTTCATTACATATTTTTAAATACATGTGCAAGGCAGTGCTATAGTATAGTTGGCTACTTAATAGCGTAGATACACAAAAAAATTTATTTGCGTTAAGCATTAGTTACATAAGATTTAAGCCCTTGAATACACAAAAGATAGGAATTCCTTTCAGCATTGTAACACTCCTCTTCATTAGAACCTTTCTCTTCATTAGAAATATAGCTCCAACTCTATCACTCATTTGGGTAGAATTTCCTTAACGAACAATATAGAAAAGTTCGTATTTGGAAATTTATAGTTTTTGAATTTAGGAATGATAAAGAGAGAGGGGAAGAGAGAGATATACCTGGACATTGTCTAATATGAAGAATTTCGTTAAGGACCTTGGGAAGATCAATATATATATACATACATACATATAAATATATATATATATATTGAGAATAACTCACGTTGACTAATCATATACAAATTTGTATATATATATATACAAATTCCCACGTTGACTAATCATATATTCATATTTACAGAATAACTCAACCAAGGCTGTAATTGAGATTTTGAGACCTAAGCCGAACTTTTAAGTTGGGTATTTATGTAGTTAAGGAAAGGCCTGTGGTCTCTTGAAGAAGATGAAAAACTTATAAAGCACACTAAATATGGACGATTTTGGAGTTCTGTCCCTAAACTAGCTGGTAATAACTTTATTTTTCGCCAGCCATTTTCGATTTTATTTTCGTGTTTTTCGTTTCTGATCACACTATTGTGTGATAATCTTGAAGGGCTTCAATGGTGTGGAAAGAGCTGCAGGTTAAGGAGGATTAATTACTTAAGGCCTGATTTGAAAAGAGGGACAGATCGCAACTAAAAAAGATTAAGAGCCTAAGGAATTTCTATCACTATCATACATCTTCCTCTGGAATTTGGTAAGGCAGAAAGTATTGGTTGATTTGAAAATGGAAGGATAAAAAATGAAAGGGCAGTAATTTTTGTTGTTTGTATGGAATGAAAAGTGGGAGGAAAAGAACAATTATTTTTCATCTCTAATATTTTCTTCTTTTCCTCTCATTTTCCACCCCTATTCCCAGCCAAAGGAAGGACAATAGTTTTGTCTCCTTAAAGGACAGAAAATCCATATTGCAATTATCTGTCTCTCCTCGTTTTCTATCCTTTCATCCATGCATAGCCTTAATATAAATCTGGCAAAATATACTGCAAATAACAGCCAAATAAAGCGGAGTACAATCTATTAACAAGAAGAGAAACACCACTTAATATATATGCTCGTGGCAATGACTAAAGTCTAATAAACACAAAAAACTGCAGGATACAATGTCGATTTTTCTTTGTTTGGCATACAAGCTTAAAGCATTCACTAAAGAAGCATAATTTTATAAATGAAACTACAATTCCACTCAATTAACTGAATGATTCATAAAAGTAGAGTATAAACTAATGCCATATCAAGAGACTTACAGCATATCTAGGAATGTTAACTTTCTTTGTATCACGGCTATCGCCAAAGGCATTATCGTGCTGCAGAAGAAAGAGAGAGGGGGGGATTCAAACATGAGACATAAACATAAAAAATTGCACTACCGATGGTTTTGGTATGAAAAGAAAATCATATATATAGAGGCAGCACAAGGGATGAACAGCACAAATACAATCACCTGAGTTATTAATGACAACAATAGGCACAAATGCATGATCTTTCACAATCTGCCAAAACTTGGGACTCTTGTCCGGTTGCACAGACCAACAATGATCAATCAACGCCCTCATGGCAAGGGGACAATAATCAGGGATAGCAGGTTTCAAATTCTGAAAGAACCCAAACAGAGTTTGATTTAAAAATTAAATAGCACTAAAATACATATTTTGAATTTTGTAACAAACGGGGGGAATGAGAAGTTGCTCATGTATCACTATAATATCCAACAAATAATTCAACCCCATGGCTTCCATGAATATCCACCACATTAACCAAATCCATAAGCAGCACCCGAGTACTCTTATTTTAATAAATTTCAGCTGAAGGTGTATCAAACATGACTCTTGCTGTGAATCACTCGTCTCTATACTTAAAAATCCTGGCATCACTATGTAATCCTTGTATTGTTCATATATTTCATTTCCAAGGAAAAAGGCATAAACTTAATAATACCATCTAAAGTACGGACAAAAATAACAAAAAGCGGGAGCTAACAACTACTGAAATGAACTAGTAAGCCCAAATAATTGACAAAATCACTCATAGAAAAAAAGCCCATCTTTAAAACATGACCCAGCAAATTAGAGTTTTAAACCATAAAAAACCTGCACCAATTTGAAGTACGAACGTTTCAAATGAAAAGGGCATTCCACGACAATAGTATTTAAATATAACAGATAGACAAATGAAATAACAAAAACCTTACCTTGTTCACTACAGTAACAAAATGACCCTCTGTCTATTATATATAAAAGAGTAACCAGCATTGAAAGCAATAGCCAATAATAGAAATGGGATAAAGAGGTAGGAGGGAGGTAACCAGCAGCGAGTGGCAAAGAAATTGGAAGGCAAAAGCCCTCTCAGTGAACGAGACATGGAAAGCCCAGATGAGATAAGAGAGAGGCTGCAAGAGACGTGATAGGGTTAGGGATTTGTAAAGTAGGGAAATGAAGTATTTGAGTAGGGATGCGAAAAGCCTTAAGAAATGAAAGTAGAAAAATAAAAATTCCAGAGAGAAATAGAAAAAATTTAGTGGGAAATGAAAATTTAAGAGGAAAATTGCGTGGAGTTTAGAAAAATGGTAACTATTAATATATATATATTTTTTACTTAAAAGTTTATCAACAAATTTTCTACATTGGTAATTATTTTATTTTATTCTTTTTTTTTTAGTTTCCAACAGAAATATCCATCAGTCAATTCGTTAGCAAATTATTTAATTTTTTTTTTTTTACCAACGAATTACCATTGGGATAATAATACCAACAGAAGTCTGGTAATTTAACATATAATTTTGAAAAATAATAAAATAATAATTTTTAAAAGATAAGTATTTTGCAACGTTTATTAAAAGTTGCGAAAGTTAGACTTTTCGCAACATTCGAAAAACGTTGCAAAATATATCCTTTTGCAGCATTCGACAAACGTTGCAAAAAATAGCCTTTTACAACGTTCAAAAAACATTGTGAAAAGTAATATTGGCAACATTTATTAAATAAATGTTTGCCAAAACTCAATTATATGAACTAATTGCAAATTTACTTATTAAACTGTTGCAATAGATCTCTTTAGCAACATTTAACTACCGATGTTGTCTTTTATGTGTTGCAAATGATCATTTTTGGTGTAGTGAATAGGCGCAACAACTTCTTAGTCACTTCGGTAGTCAACGTGAGAGGGAAGCTGTGAAGATAAAAGTTTCATGTTTATTTTGTTGCTGCTCATGGCTGCCTTAGGTGTCCTTTCGAAGTGGAATTGATTGGCGACTAATCTTGCAAAGGCATGGCTGGTATATATTTGTGCATATCCAATCACCATATTTAATTTCTTTGCTTCGTGTTTGATTAAGCATCTCGTTCTTATTATTCTTAATACGAGTATAGTTAAGAATTTAGTACTCGTATATCTATCTATTATAAAATATTGTTGCTTATGAAGTAACACATTATTATTAATGTTCCAATTAGATTTTACTTGCTCCCAAAGAGCATAATTAAATAAATATAAAATAAATTATGTTTCTACTTCTGAAGAGTAAATCCTTTTATAATTTGATATTTCAAATAATAAAAAGTTATTGCTCTCGAAGAGCATAACACTCCGATTTCATTATTTCAGAGGAATATTGATCGATTTTTATATAAAATCACGAATTAAATTACTCAATTTATTTACATGTCCTTTCTTCAACATACATATTTTTGTTCTAGCTAAATTTTACTTGCTCTAGAAGAGTATAATAAATATAATCTAATATAAATTATGTATTTATTCCTGAGAGTAAATTCTTACATACTTTATTATTTTAAAAAAATAATATCGTATTGCTTCTAAAGAGCATAATGTTATAGTTTTCAATATTCCAGAAGAATATTGATTTATTACTCTTAAAGAAGCAATAATAAAATATAATGTACTCTCGAAATAATAAATAATACATATCTCATTGTGCTTTTTGTTCCTAAAGAAACACAAATTAAACAACTCGATATTAGGTTGAATTTTTAAAGAAAAATAATTTTCTATATTATTAATATGCAAAGAAGGATATTAATTTATCGCTCTAGAAGAGCAAAATTTATAATTTTTAATATTTCAGACGAATATTTGACATATTGCTCTTGAAGAACCAACAATTAAAGATAATGTAGAATGTGCTCTCGAAATAGCACATTTTCGAAAAATATATCATTTTGAATTCATGTTTATTACTAAAGGAAAACATATAACTAATTTCATGGAGACATTAATTAGATTGACTATTTGAATGATATATGATTATATAAGCTTTAATCGTATTCTTTGAAATTGAATCATCGAATTATATCTTATATTGAATCAAAAGTTTAATTTGACTTTATTGTATGGCATGATCAATTCAATCATCATTAGATTAATAATAATGCAAAATTAAAAATTCAAATGAATATTTAATGAAGATCCAGAAGATTCTTCCATTCAATTCTATTTGATATTTGTTTTCTTTCATGAAAATTTTTCATTAACGATCACTAACTAAAATATGGACTAAATTTTCTATACTTCTGAAAATTAATTAGGACGATAAATGGGGCATGATCATCCTTCATGTTGATTATTTAAATATTATTTATATTTAATAGATTTGATACAAATAACAAATGATTACATGGTGTTCGTTTACTGCTCAAATTTTAAATTATGAGTATAATTTTTAGATTATATAATCAAAACTGTGTCTTGTTAATGCTAATGGGTATAAATCTCAATATTTTAATAAGTATTAATTGAGATGTCGATAATGATTTAATACTATTATTTGTTAAATGCTTCCAATTAATTTAATTGAGAACAAAGTACTTTTCATTTTTTTGTTTTGGGAATTCTGTTATGCATCATGTCAATATCATAGTTATCTTGTTATAATTGACTTATGGTAACAGAGCTCATTAAACTCCAACGACCTATTCTATCCGATTAAAACTCAATAAATGAGCTTACGAGTTTCAGATTGGTCTGCTCAAACAAGCTACTATCTTGCGCAGGCATGTTAAGGGATATAATCCTACATCGTATAAAGATGAAAATATAGACCAACTTATAAGATTCTCGGCTGCTCCTCTTAACAAGGTTGACCTTTTAAGATGGAACCACATTGTACCAAAATAAAAAGTAAAGAATGTTGAGAATAAATACGTAGTTTGAACTCTTATTCAAAATGGGTGATATTTTATAATGCAGAAAAAACAATTGTCAATTTGATTAGACAATTCTATCAGCATTAGGGGAGAGGAATTAAGAATTTGAAAATAACGTATAAATGCATCTTCATCTAAATCCTCTCAAAATATCGTTTGACCCAGAAGTTCAAATAATAATTTATTTAGATGCATTTACAGAATAAAGAGATAAATACCAATTTTAAATGCTCCAATACGAATTGATGTCCTATGAAGACAATTTGTTGACATTATTTTTGATATATTTATCGCACACCTGAAGCGTGATGGTATTTGATTCCAATACAAAAAAATTTCAAACGAAAATGGAGCAATTTGCTAATATGGTCTCATTACGGAGGCATATACTCTTAATGAGTATTTAGACATAACAAATTAAAAAACTCCAAAAGAGATTCAGGTATCTGATATATCTAAATAACTTATATCATTATGGGAAAAGAAATATAATCGACTAGGAAAAGAAAAATGTTGTCGACAACATTTTTACACATGATGTACTACATCATATTATGAATAGCAAGGAATTGAAATCAATGCGTCGAAATATATCGATCAAAATAATGTTTAGCTAAAAAAAAAAGGAACGCAATCCTAAATCGAATTTATTAGAGAAACATGAAGTTTTTGGACCTACAGTCTGAAAATATAGAGGTATATACTTATGCGAAAAGGAAATGAAAAAAATGAAGACATAATGTGGAATGCACGATTCTCAACATAGTGAATTTCACAAAGATCGTCGTGTTTGAAATCCTGAGTCTATATTATGTTATCTTGACGATACATAAAATTTGAAATACATAATGGTCAACTCATTTGATATGACTATTAATGTTATCTCTGAAAGATTTAATGTGTCTGAAGCATAACTCAAATGATACATGCCTAAGAACCATGTTTCCAATTAAGTTTCAAAGACCATTATATGGATTGAAGCAATTCGAAAACTTGTGGTTAATCATCTTACTGAATATTTGTTAAAGGAATGCTATAAAAATAACGATGTCTGCCCATGTATTTTCATAAAGAGAATAAATATTAGATTGCAATTGAAGCAGTTTATGTTGATAATTTAAATTTAATCGAAATTTCTGAAAAGCTCAACAAACTACTAATTATTGGAAAAAATGAATTTGAGATGAAGGATTTGGGAAAAAATAAATTTTATCTCGAATTGCAGATTGAACATTTAGCAGATAGATTATTTGTTCATCAATTTATGTATACAGAAAAGTCTTAAAATGCTTTTATATGGATAATGCACATCCATCGGCATCATTTATGATTGTTTAATCACTTGCTGTGAAAAATAATCCATTTTGTCCACTTGAAGATGGAGAAAATCTTTTTAGTCCTGAAATACCATATCTTAGTGTAATTGTAGTATTAACTTATTTTGCAAATTTCACTTGGCCCGATATAGCTTTTTCTATAAATCTTATTGCAAGATATAGCTTTGCACCAACTTAAAGACATTAGAATGATGTTAAAGATATTTTTCGTTACTTACAGGGTACTATTGATTTGAGATTATTTTATTCTCAAAATTCGGGATCTGTTTTAGTGGGATATGCAGATGCAGGTTATCTATTTGACTCGCATAAAGCTAAATTACAACAGGATATGTGTTCACACATGGAGAAACAGCTATATTATGGAGATCTATGAAGCAATTATTAACACCTATAGCTTTAAATCATTCTAAAATTATTACAATCTATGAAGCAGACCAAAAATGTGTATGGTTGAGAAACATGACCACCATATTCAAGCAACATGAGGGTTAACTTCAACAAAAGAAACAATTTTGAAAGCAAACAATACAACTTGTATTGCATAACTCAAAGGAAGCTATATCAAAAGTGACAAGACGAAGTACATTTCTCCAAAATTCTTTCGTACACATGAGTTTCAAAAGAATGACAATATCGATATCCAACAAATTCACTCAAATGACAATGTGGTTGTTTTATTCACAAAAACACTGCCAACATTTACATTTAAGAAATTAGTTCATGAGATTGAAATGTGTCAACTCAAAGATTTTTAGTGATCAACATTAGGGAGAATAGCTGTACTCTTTTTCCTTTGTTTATACTTTATCCCATTGGATTTTCCTAGCAAATTTTTAATTAGGCAGTATTTATTTTTAGTACTCCAAAATAACTGTACTTTTTTCTTTCGTTTTGAGTTTTTATCAAACAATGTTTTAACGAAGTAGATATTTTGTAATGTATCATTCAAGGAGGGTATTGTAAATGGTAAGTTTATTAAAATTTATTAGTGAATGACAATGCTACTCCTACAACCCTAGAAATTATTACCATTACATCCCTGATTTTTACCTATGAATATAGGGCTCTGATTCTTAATAAAATACACACAAGTCTATTAATTTCTCTCTATTTTCTTCTCTTTTCTCTCTTTTCATAACAGATATTTCATAATTAAACATTAAATATATAAGTTTTATTCCAAACACTAATTAATTTTCCATTTCCTTTCTCTCTCCATACCTACCTCTTTTTTCTTTCCAAATCCTAAAACCATTTTCTCCATTTTCTTCCTCTCTTCATCTTCTCAATCTATTCTCTCTTTGCTCTTACCTCTCCTCCTCTCTACATCACAGTTGTCGCCTACAACTGCAAAAACATTGGAAATGAGACGAAAGGTAGTCGAGAAAAAGGAGTGATTGTGTAGCGCCACGTGATGCCGTGCGCAGCTGCCAGTTAGACTTTTTCTATTTGCTGCAGATCTGATCGACCTTCACCACAAACGCCGATCATCGTTGTCGTAGTTTTTTTTTAAATGAACTATATATGACATTTACAGAGGAAGAACACGGCTTGAGAATTGTCGGGGTAGGTGGTGAATGTTTTGTGATTTGAGTAGAACTATTGGTGGAGGATACGAAGTTGCAAGAGATTTTGGGGCTTTGCAACAATGGCAATAGGTGATGTAGTAGGAGATATCAGTGTGGTGTTTGTGGTGCAGACGTGTAGTGGTGGCGACGACACAATGGTGTTGGTCGTGTTTGGTTGTGGGAATGGTGGTGGCAGAGGCGTTGGTGGTGGATCTAATTGTAGCAGTGATTTTTGTTAGATCATCGGTCGATTTGATGGTGGTGGATCTGACAGTGTTGTGATAAATAATTTGGATATTTTGCGACTAAAAAATAACGTGTGACCAATAAGTTGTGACCAATAAAAGTTTTGATTTTGAAACAGATGAATAATTTGTAACCTATAAAAAATTTTATTTGTGATCGAGAAATAATCTATGGCCTATAAGATTTTTGATTTGTAACTGAAAAATAAGTTGTGACTAATAATTTGATAAGTTGTGATAAAAAAATTAATTCGTGACTAATTAATTAGATATTCGTGACCATAAAATAAGTTATAACATATAAAAAAATTTATTTTTGATCAATGAATAATATGTGACCTATTAATTTGAAAAATTTGTGATAGTTGAATAAATTTTAACCTTAAAATATTTGATTTGTGATCGTGAAATAATTTGTAATCTACAAAATTTTTTATTGTGATCAAGAAATAATTTGTAACCAAATTGTATGGAATGGTGATATTAATATATTTAATTAATAAAATATACGTTTAATTAATTTATTAATAAAATTTTAAAAAATCTTATTTTTGAATTTTAACTTTATTTCTTATATTTGAAATGTGTCATACTTAATCTCTTATATATGAATTTTTCCCAAATTTAAATCCGATTGAGTTAGGTTCAAATTTCAAACCCAATTGTTATTTGACCTGGCATGGTCTGCAGTGGGTGGGTTCTTATCGTACATATATTTTTTAGGACAAAAGTTATTTTAATTTTAAGCCTAATTGATATTATCAAATTCTTGGCATACCTAAATGAAAGTATTCTTAACTGTATTATATTTCAAATCATTTGGCTTTTATCATGAGTTTCTCTAGCAATCTCTTATATATGAATTTTTCCCAAATTTAAATCCGATTGAGTTAGGTTCAAATTTCAAACCCAATTGTTATTTGACCTGGCATGGTCTGCAGTGGGTGGGTTCTTATCGTACATATATTTTTTAGGACAAAAGTTATTTTAATTTTAAGCCTAATTGATATTATCAAATTCTTGGCATACCTAAATGAAAGTATTCTTAACTGTATTATATTTCAAATCATTTGGCTTTTATCATGAGTTTCTCTAGGTGTGATCGATGTCTATGATCTGTGACAGACGTCTATTAATTGTGACCTAGTAATCGACTTATGAGACTTGTGACTGTTTGCAGGGGCGGACTCAGACCTTTAGTATTGTGAGGTCAAAATTTTAAAAATAATTTGTTTAATAAACAACATAATATCAATGAAAATAAATTAATATGTATTTTGACACTTTGAAAACGTCGTATAATTACATCGTTATTAATATTATTAAATAAATTATGCTACTAGTATAGTTTTGTTTATCATTTCATTGGCAAATGCTGAGCTAACATTGAGTAAATTAAATTGAATATAAAAATTAAATGAATTGAAATAAAATTCAAGTTTAGTTCAGAAAGTAAATGAAATTCAAATTTAAAATAAATATAATTCAAATTGCATTTAATCCGTAACGACTCTAAAAAATTTACGTCATACTTCATGTAAGACTTTCTAATGAAACGATATAAATTATATTGAAAAATTTATTGTGCAAAAATAATAATTAATTGATTTTTTTTTTAAAAAAAACGAGTTAGATGTCTTTTTTGAGGCGTGCGTTTGATATATATTTAACTATTTTCGATATCCATTTGGACTATTCGATATAAAAATGATGTATTTTTCGAAACAATCTTTCACATGATATAGACGATTTATGGATTTAGATAGCACATGATCGCAAACGAATTTTTAAAGTTAGGATATTATCAAAATTCTCAAAATACTAGTTTCAAACGGCCTACTTTAACATGTCATAACTTTTGCTATAGTTGACCACTTCGCATGCCATTAATGAGTGAAAAACTAGACCATGAACACTTCGAAATGGTATTAAAAATGTAATATTTTTTATCGTTAATTTACTAGGTCAAAAGAAATTTGTCGATAAATTAGCATCGAGAATTTCACTATCCGAATTATCAACAGAAGGGTTCCATCGCTAAAACATGTTACCTTCAAAATTCAAGCCATCATTGATTAAAAAAAATAATAATAATAAATAAATAAATAAAAATCCATTTCTAGAGTCGTAATTTTTTGTAGTATTGAGACAAATTAAAGTTTACTAACCAATTAAAATTTCATTCAAAGTTTAGTGACTGCATATGAAAACAAATTCGAGGACGACCTTAAATATTTTTACGAAATGGCTTTATTTTCCATAAAAAATGTTATTTTTTCCACTCAAATTCTTTCTTTTAAGTGTTTGATTGGTATTTTTTAGGGCTGGGCAAATCTCCCGAACCGAACCCGTTTGGGCTTCTCGCCTTCCCACCACATCGACAAGATGCAATATATTTACAAAGCAAAATCAAATCAATCTACAGCCAAATGAGCTGTGTAAAAGGGTCTGTCTAATTAAAATCTTAATTAAACAGATCGACCCACAAATAAATTTACCTGCAAATCTATATTGAATTTAAGAACTAACGGTACTGCAGGTTCTGGATTTTGGACTTGTCCAAAATCGACCACATCACCTGAACATCCTCATATGTACACGCCATCACCTCTCCATGCAAATCTGTTACACTCTGGTCGCCGTGCTCGGGTCCTGCAATGTAATTGTGCACGTATCAGGCTTAGACATATGAGGACATCTTGAAGACACTGAACAGTGTAAATTTTTAGATCAAGTGATTCAACGAGTATACGTACCTTGGTGGGATTTCTTGTCTCTGTGCTGCTGATGATTGAAGAAAGTGCAAGCTTTTCTAAAGGGAGAGGTGATAGTTCGATACCAAGAGGTCATATTATATTTTGTTCTTTCTGTGTATTGAGAAAGAAATGGCAAGTCCAAAGTTACTTCTATATAGAAATGGTATAGAAAGAAGGCATGATCCGTGAACTAAGGTTTTGATGGATTGGGGGGTTCTGTTTCTAAGATTTTCTTATCTAAAATTCTATGTTTTGGTGCCGACTGCGCCTTGGCACATGGCGCACGCTTCCCTAATGGATCACTACACGTGAAGCCATTTACTATACTTCTGGTGAACGTGACGTGAAGTTGAGATAAGTGAGCCCCCCCGCCCCTCCCTTTCAAATTAATCGATACACTAATATTGGAACTTAAACACACACACACATATGTGTGTGTGTGTGTGTGTTGAATAGCTAAAAGACCATTATCCATTGGGTTTCTCGATTATGAGTGACTGTATCATTGTTGAGAAAGTATCCAATTTAGCCCATCCCTAGGCAGAAGGCCGTATGGAAGCTTTATCCAACTAAATGTTGGCTTCTGGTTTCGATGAACGAATAATCATTGAGTCCTCTTTTCGGACAACATGTATTAAAAGACTTGTCAACAATCATATATTTAGTACCCCTTTGAGCCTCATTTTTAAAATTTTATTTTTAATCATACATTTTTTCAGAAAAATAATTTTACATATAAACCAAAAAAAAAAAAAAAATAATAATAATAATAATAAAGAAACCCTAATTTTAATCACACATTTTATAAAAAATCACTTTTTACAAAATTTATTATAAAAAATTGGGACTCCAAACAGGTGCTTTATAAACATTTCAAAGTCGACTTGAGGTAACGGTTAATTTGATTTTACAAACGAATTGATATAACAAATTATTCCAATGATATCTATAGAATGAAAAGTATTTTGAATTATCACAAAAGCATCTTCTCACATGACATGGTTTTATCTTGAATTTGAAGTTCGCTTTGATGCCTTCTCTCATGTTTTAGCAATGATTGTTAAGTAACAAGAAAATTAATACTCCATAACTGAAGTCAATGTTATCCTTCGCTCAACTTGTAAGGTTAATTGCACGTTCAATCTTGCTACATCTACATCTCTCTTTACACTTTAGTTTACCAAATTTACACTTGGTACAATCTCACACCGAAAAATTCTACTTGTACATAATTATTGCACATAATAATGTTCATAATGTGATGTGACAATCATCCGATTGTTGATGTGCAAGTAAGAGATTTAAATTAAAGGTTGGATCCAGTGCTATGTGTAATTATGAATATCACTATGTAGACAATTATGTACATGTAGCGCTTCTCATCTCACACCACTTTTTACATCTCACACTTTTAATCCAACCATTGTAAAGCTACCACATCATCTATCTGTCAACCAAGTGGTGAATGCAGATGTACAAATAGATTTATCCTCGCACGTTTTTGTCTGACCTCATTTATTTTTTGTGCTTAATGTGGTTATGATCCCTGTTAATTATTGGGTCTCACTTTCCGTAAAATTCTTGACAAGAAAAAATAATTATCACTGCCTTTAAGATTATCACACGCCAATCAAAAAAGCTAAAATGGGAGGCAAGTAGCACAAATCGAGGTTTCTTGTCTCTCTCTAGTCGCCATGAAGGGAGATGCCCCCCTAATTATAATTAGGCGGGCATGACTTGAAAAAGCCTATATGTGTGTTATCACGATCATCACGAGTTATTTATGAATTTCTATATTCCTTTGAAAAAATAATAGAAAGGACACATGTCTCTTCATAAACAAAAGATTGGATAATGTGTGAGCTAGGAAAAGATCTAGATATGCACCATATCCTTTAAGTAGTGACGCGTCTTATATAGTTTTCATATTTCCATATACTCTGTCTTATATTGACTTCATCGTCGGAAAGGGAAGAAGGGAAGTACTTATGTATCCGTTCTTTTCAAGTTGTTGAAAACTTTGTTGGAGACTACTTCAGCATTCCTCAACCTTCAAAAGCTTAGGAAGAGAAGTATTGGTTCTTCATGGATAAATCTTCGATCATCCCGCCAAAATGATACAAAATGAATAAGCCTCTCTTTGTTAGGGACCCTATTTGGTAGTTGGTTAAAATAGGGTTTCAAAATCATTATTCCAAAACTCGTTAGGTGGACATCTCCCTTCAAGGTCTCTCTATTTTAACTTTGGATACACTTGCTCGATGTAGGTTGGTAGTTGGCTGCTTTGTTGGTTAACAAAGGGTATCTTTGAGAAAAATGAGTTTAGGAATAATTACCTTCTGGAAATGTGTCGTGAAAAAGTAGGTAAAAATTTTAAGTTTACATACAAACTATTTTACTGTGTAAATGCACGATTGTAATTACCCATGTTTGAGTCACATTCTAGGAGAAAAATGCATTATTCAATGGGATACGTGTGGTTAAAAAATAAGGATAAATTTTAGATTTGCATGTAACATTATTTTATTGAAGAATGTGTGGTTGAACTAATGTCAAATCACTGTTAAAGAATGTATTTTTTTGAAAATAATGTGGCTCAAACAAAAAATAAGTTGAAGAAAAAAAAAGTTTTAATTTAATCGAAGACAAACATAGGCTAAGAAAATTTTCCTGAATTTCGAAATTTTTATTATACTAAAAATATCAACTTAGAGAACCCCAAATACCCAAAGTACGTACACTGATACGGCATGGCAGATAGGGACCAAATTTGAGTTTAAGACCCTATTTTAGCCAACAAAGTAGCCAACTACCGACCTAAATAGAGCAAGTGGATCCAAAGTCACATGCACACACAAAACTAAATTTAACGTTATTGTCCCACAATTTGTCTATAGTTTCTCCCTGCACATGCTATTGAGTATTACTATCATACCTTACGGTTAAAACTAGAAAAGTTCAGGGACTATAAAAGTAAAACTGCATTTGGAATGGACGCGATTTTTTGAGGTGTAAAACCTCACTTTGTTAATTGATATATAAGAGTTTGAATTATTTCTCTCAGCAAGAATAATATTTTAAGATGGAACTCTAAGATTTAATCGAAATTCTAATGAGAAAAATCCATTTAAAACTGAAGTTGGCACTCAAATTTTAAGATTGATGTTATCAAATGAGCCAACATCTTTTAGGACACAGATAGATCTAGGATTTATTAGTTTAGTGGGTGGCGGAACTTTTGTAGAGAGGACTTCGAAATTACGAGAAAAGTAAAAAGACAAAAATGGAGTCATTGTGAGGACTTTAATATTCATGTATATAACACAATATGATAACTTAAAAAGACAATATTTAGAAGACAAGAAGAATTATCAAAATGTGCCATACAAATACCTTGAAATGCAATTTCGCCTCACCCTGTTATTTCCCAAATGATAAAACTTGTCAACAAATCCCTCTTAATACAAATGATCTCAAGTAATTTGATAGAAAATCATGGTCCATTTTATTGCGAAGCAATGTCATTATTCAACCAACATTTGATATAACTGAAGACAAGAATCAACATTCTGAACTGCCGGATGTGAAATACATCATACTTGTTATGATCCAATTGTCTCCTCAAATATTTCTCGGCTGAAGAACAAATGTAGTATCTATAGAGAATGATTGAACCCATCAATAGGATTCAGAGCCTTAACTCACACAGCTTAAGGAGTTTAATTGTGTTTTCTCTAAATCTATTATTCAAGTTCTGTAAGTGTTATACCCTAAATCCAATCGATTTAGGTTATAAACACTTTTAATATGTTTAATGCATTTAATTTGACAAGATCTATTATTTATTTAAATTAATTTTGTAATAAATAATATTAAATAATAGAATCCGAAGATCCAAGTTTAAGTGATTTGTTAATCACAATGAGTTGTGATTGTGAGATACAAAATACTTATGATTGAATCTTGAATAAACCGTGGTCGTAAGTAATGACGAGATACGAATTTCGTTAATACAGTTAGACCATTACGTGTAACATTTCTTACTTGTGAAGTAAATAGCTAATCTCACGAGCTAAAGTGTGGTGACACTTAAATGAACACGTGGATATTTTGTTATAGAACAAAACATTGGAGACCCACTAAGAGATTCACATGGATAACTATCTGAGTGTTAGTGGTTAATCTCTAACGTTCGGTAGCGAAATTGGTCCTATAACTTGAGGCCATCATAGTGCCTTGTAGGAGGACAGCCATGTTTTGACGGTGTTGGATGTTGCTCTGGCAAGGCCGCTAATACGACATTGTTCGGGTATGTTAAGAACCATATAAAGATTGTGAATGACCAATAAAGGATTCGTCACTCTTAGATAGTAAGAGATTGTGACCTGCATTTCGTTCAATTAAATCAATGACAAAATCCTTATCAAGGTATACATATAAGTCGAAAAGGAGTTTTCGACTCATATTGACTTAATAGTAGAATGAAAGACATGATCGATAATCGAAATTGACACACTTCCATATCTCGTAGTTGATTAGACCATATTGATGAAGAGATTATAGTTTCATGGTAAACGAACAGTTTTGGTTTTGTCATACCACGTGACATTTCCTGTCACATGTGTTGCCCTGATACATTACTAGATGTCAATCTGGGACGGCGAGTGTGAATTTGTGATAAATTAAAATGATGTTTAATTTATCAGTTTTGATTAGATCAAAATAATATTTCACGTCGTTAGGTATCGTAGTCGGGAACCTAATGGGTCGCACACAAAAGAGAATTGGAAGATTGCAAATTGCCAATTAATTAATTTAACAATCGTTGGATAACTTAATTAATTGGATTGGTTATTTATATCCCGAATTAATTAATTGGATTAATTAATTCACGGACCGAGTTTAATTAAATATTGGATCGGACCAGACCGAGCCCGTTTGGGTTTATATAAATACATGGCTAGGGTTTAAGATCCATAAGGTTTTTATTATTCTTATTGGCACAAGAGGAAAAACACTAACAGTTGCAGCCTATTCTCTGTGTGGATTTCATTGGAGGCTGGATAATTTGACAGCTGTGGGAGGCAGATTCAAGTTGCTGGAAAAGAATAACGCAAAGGAATTTGCAAAATCAAGAAAAATGTATATTTCTCATCACAGTTCTTATCTAAATACAAAACTGAATCCTGAATGAGAATTGAAACTGTTATTTCCGCTGTGCATGTTTAAGTAAATTCCCAACAAGTTCATCAACTGAAAATCGATATCAGCATTGAATATATGAAAGCGATAGAAATCCTCCACTCTATTATTATTTTTATGTCGACAAGAACGTCTTGTACCGTCCATATAATGATAAACTAATTCAGGCACATTCAATGTCATTACTTCTATAAAACTGCACCTCACTCCAAATAAACCTTCCCAGTGACCATCTTGGGTCTCTCGAAGAAGCATCGTCATAGTTGAGATTAAATTCATTGCATCCAAAATGTCTTGATTTTTCATTTCCAATGCTTGATGTAACAAATCAGATTTTTCCAAAAATTTATGCATGACAACTAGATAAATGCAAACTCAAATGTTTTCATAACTTGTACGGATCATCAGCCTCTCTCATGTATTATTTTTTGATCCTCGTCAATAAGATTTTCAAGAAGCATAGAAGTTGAAACAAACATCTAAATCAATCTTTTAACGGGGAAAATGTGAACTCCGACAAGTTGCTCGAGCTCGTAGTAAGGTACAAACTTGATTAGACCCAGTACTAGCGTGAACTTCTTTTGTTGCTATCAAATCATCATTTTCATCTGAGAACGACACTTTGTAATAAAAAGATCAGAATATAATACCAAGTCCATGACTTCATACACAAGAGAGGCAGTTTATATTCTATTCTAGTGCCTATAAAATAGCTATATCTTTTACTTGAATTATAAAAAAATAAAAAAATAAAATTAATTAATTACATTGATACAGGTTATTTGCTTTCCTACTTTAATATTACAGTAAAATATACATCTTTCCTATTTTACTTGATTGTCTTCAACACTCCCCTTCAAGTTGAAGTGGATGTTGACGACCACCCAACTTGTTAAGTAGTACTTCAACCTCTGATGTACTCAATGCCTTAGTAAATAAGTCTGCAGTTTGATCATTGGTCCTCACATGCGCTGTTCTGATCAAGCCTTCTTGAATATTTTCTCGAACTAAATGGCAATCAATTTCAATATGCTTTGTTCGTTCATGAAAAATTGGATTTGAGGCAATACGTAAAGCAGCTCAGTTATCATAGAACAACATGACTGGTTGAGGATGCTTGACTCCCAAGTTTTTCAAGACGTTTTTCAACTTAGTAATTTCACATCCTATATTAGACAAAGCGCGATACTCTGCCTTGACAATTGATTGGGCCACCGTAGTCTGCTTATTTTTTTCTGGTAAATGAATGATACTCCAAGAAATACAAAATATCCTGTTATAGATCTTCTTGCGTCCTTGCAACGTGCCCAATCCGCATCACAAAATGCCTTTAATTGAAGTGTGCTTTGGAGAAAATTAAAATACCTTGTTTGCTTCAAGTATTTAAGGACTCTGTGCTGCCTCAAGATGTGTTACATGTGGTTTGTCCATAAATTGATTTAAAGCATGAACAACATAGACCAAATCTGGTCTAGTAATATTTTAGTAGATTAATCTTCCCACAAGGCGCCTATTTGGCGAAGGATCACCAAAAAGGTCTCCATCGGATTGTGTAAGAACCAAGTTTTATTCCTTTGGAAACCATGTTGATTTAGGTCCCAAAAATCCAACATCTTCCAGTATCTCCAATGCATACTATGACATGACCTGTCCCGAATCACCTTAATGGATTCGACACGTGTCATGCACCGATGGTAGACACCAGCTAAACACCGGACCCACCACCAAAGCAACTTGACTTGCTTGATTGAAAAATATTTTTAACAAAATTATGACAGAGTTCCCCTTGAAATATGAACTAAAATCACCTTAACAATAATTAGTTTTCTTCAAATCAATACCTACAATATAAATAGGATACGACAATTCTTCAAAATACAAATTATTCAAATAAAATGTGGGCAAATCAACATTTCCTTTCTTTACAACCAACAATTCTCAAATATACTAAAGACGCCAAATATGCAGTGAACACATGATAACCTTTTCTGACATAAACTACATATAACCCAAAGAAACATGTACTACATAGTCTGATAAAGTAGGCCATACAACCTATGACGCGTACCTCTATATGATAAGGAAAAAGGTGAAAAGACATATGGGCTTATAGCTCAGTGCGTGGATAATTTGCAAATAAATATACTTTTTCCATTTCTACATATTTTTTAAAAATTCTAGCTTTATTAAATCTTTGAGAAATTCTGAAAACTAGTAACACTTTTAAAACTAAAAAATGATTGTATAATAAAATTCTTTGTTCTTCATTCTAGATAAGTAGCTGTAAAGTTTAACGAATAATCTGAAATTCATGAAAATCTATGAAATATTGTTACTGGTCAATACTATAAGTTGAAAGCTTTATTTTGAAAACTGAATTCTATAATATGATCTCATAAGCTATAGAAAAATATTGAAACATCACACGAAAAAGGTACCCGGAATAACCTTACTCATGTATCGGTTAGTACCGATATACATGGCAAAGCTATTCAGTTTTGAAATTCTGTAATTCTGGAATTCTATAATTCTTAAATTTTGGTCATACGCCCGCAGAGCTGAAATTCTGTAATTCTGGTCATACACCATGGAAACATATTCACAATAATGCAGAGCGGGTAAAATCACCATAACTGGTCATACACTGTGGAAACACATTCACACCAGTGCAGAGCGGGTAAAATCACTTGGGTACTTTCTGGTGGTTTTAAAAATAACTTTAAATGTGCTGAAGTATTTAATATTGAATTAGTATGCCAGTGAAATAATTTAACTGAACTGAATTTAATTTTAAAACAATTGTTTATGAATCAACTTTCTTCTGAAAATCATGCTGTCAAATCAACTATATGAAATAATAGATTTTCTGATTTAATAGAAATTTAATGAATACTAATTTCTGAAAAATAAGTTTATATCCACTCATAAAGTTAAAGATCATGGTTTCGATATTCTCGTCGCCTCATCACTTTCTAATTCCAAGTATGATATCATGCTCTCGCTATAATAAATCATATCCCTTCACAAGCGTTCCTTGAGTATTTTCCTACCATTAGAAATAATAATTTACCAATGGAAACTTGACATTTTATTTTCAATCTCATAATCCCAATTAGGGCACATATACTCCTTCATATAAATTATTTTAACACCAAAACCTCAAATATTTAACACTTAATTTGGTTTCAATATTAAAAATCCACCAAATTAGATTATTGAAAAAACTAGCACTATAATTCTAGAATATTGAAACTAGCACCAATGTCTATATATTAAAATCTGTCACCGAAATCATGGACAAAAATAGCACTTATCTGGCAGATTTTCAAAAATAGCACCTATACTACAATAGCTCAAAAATGGCTGAAAAATTGGAGAATTTCATCCTCAAATCCTTAATTTAAGTTTTTAGCATCATATAATCACAATAATTTCAAAGAATATATATCAATTTCATAAACCCATTTACAAAGTTTCACTCTTTCTTTAACTTCAACATTCAAATAAACATATTTCTTTGTTATATTTCTAATTATAACACCAAATAAATATTAATAATACCTAATTCTAGCTAAGTTTTGAATTGAAACAAATTTAGCATAAACCCTAAGAAAATTTAATTCAATATACTTGTTCTTACCTCTCTAAATTAAATGAGAAATTGAAGAAATAGAACACCAAGCTTGGAAATCCACTTCTTCTTCTTCCTCCTCTTCCTCTTCCTTTCTTTCTTCTCCTCTCGGTCTCTCCCGGTCTTTCTCGAATTTTCCCCCAAAAATGAGAAAAATGGATGTTTATCTCTTAGGTTAATAGATAATTATGGGGTATTTGCAAGTCAAGTCCCCCAATCTTCATACAATATCACATTTAGTCCTCACATCTTCAAAAATAGAAACTAAATCCCTAGATCCCTATATTAACAATTTCTTGCCCTTGAACATTTATAATTACAATTTAAGTCCCATGAAAATTATTTGTTCCATTTAAGTCCTTATTTATCTTTGACTTTGACCAATTATTTTTCTTGATCTTGACCAAAAATGAGGGGTGTAACATACTACCTTTGAGAGAAAGAAACACCCTTCGATGACCTTACCACTTCCATGGCCAAGAAGTATTTGAGTTGACTAAGATCCTTTAGTTTGAATTGCTTCGATAGAAACATCTTAGTGTGCTCAATATGTTGCAAATCGTTGCCTACCAAAATCACATCATCAACATATACAATAATTGCCATGATGCTACATTTGTGGGATCAAATGAAATGTGAATAGTCCACCTTTGACTGTTGAAAACCAACATTCTTGAGAGCCGAAGATAGCTTCAAAAACCTTTTCTTGGAAGCTTGCTTCAAACCATATAATGCCTTCCTATGTTTACAAATTCAAGTCTCTCCTTTTCGTCCGAATCCAGGAGGAAGTGACAGATATACATTTGCATCAAGATCACCATGCAATAACGCATTATTGACATCAAGTTGGTAGAGATGCCATCCTTGAATAGCCGAAACACTTAGAACATGTACCGTAACTAGCTTTGCATCCGGAGCAAAAGTCTCTTCATAGTCAAGTCCTTCAATTTGGTTATATTCATTGGCAACCAAATGAGCCTTACATCAGATTTTAGCTTCACTTCATATACCCAGTTACATCCTATCTATTTCTTTCCAGATAGGAAAGGAACAAGTATCTATGTATGATTTTCATGGAGGGCGTGAATTTCATCATGCATGGCTGTACGCCAGTTAGGATCTTTCATGGCTTGTAAGAAACTAGTTGGTTCTTTTGTAATGATTAAGGATGTGGAAAATTTTTTACGAGGGATAGAGTTTTCAGTAGGGATCTCTGAAGTAGATGGCGGTTGATAAAGGAATCCTTGATCATAATTTCCAGTATTCATACTGCGTCCAACACTTAGGAGCCGTGTGAGATGAAAGTCTCATACACGGTTTTGAATGAGAGAAAGAAGTGAGGAACTGGAGTTACATCTCTTTTCTATTTCCATTCAAGAGTTCTTATGTGTTTCCATGCCCTTTGAGACCCCACAGATTACATAGTCCAAGGATTGGCGACTTACCAATTCAGTGACTTTGGGACTAGATTTCGCTACGGCTCCAATGGGTTCCCTTAACCAAGCCACTGCTTATGAGTTGCCAGCTGAATTCTTATTCTACATATTCTAATAGCGGAGCGAATTCCATTTCATATTGAGTGATAATTGATCATAAGAAAGAAATTGGAGAGATCATATGGCATACCTGATGTTATGACCACGTTAGAGCCAGATGATTGCCCAAGCCTAGACGGGAGGTGTGCGGGAGATGGTGTAGTACTAAGAGTAATTGTAGTGTTTTTGGTTATCTCGGTTGGACATCGTGATATGATAGGATCATCATAAAAAATAGAGTCATTTGGAGTCAGTATTACGGGGCTATCAGTGGCAACGGAAGTGTGTTTAAATGAAAGCTCATTTTTTAAGAATGTAACATCACGAGACACAATAACCTTGTGAAGCTCAACATCATATTCTCGATATCCCCTTCTGCCATAAGGATACCCAAGAAAGATGCAACGGGTTGCATGTTTGTCAAATTTGAATGGTTTATGAGCATACACTCGTAAAAGTGAGTATTTAATTTATATTAAATAGCTCCTTATAAGGTGTTTTCCCTTGCAAAACCGGTGCATGCGTGCAGTTTATACGGTAGGCAGCAGTTAAAATGGCATCCCCAAAAGGTTTTAGGAAGATGGGCTTGGAAAAGCAAAGCTTATGTTATGTTGAGTAAGTGTCTATGTTTGCCCTCAGCCACTCCATTTTGTTGTAGAGTATTAACATAATTGGTTTGATGGATAATGCCCTTGGATAGATAATAGTCTTTAAGTATGAATTCAGGGCCATTATCACTACGTATTAGTTTAATCTTGAAGAGAATTGAGTTTCAGCCATATTAATGGAGTTGATTGGATGAGTTTGAGTTTCAGATTTGTAACTCATCAAATGAACCCATGTGCATCTAGTAAAATCATCAACTATGGTGAAAAAATACTGAACCAAAAAATAGATGTGATATGGTAACCACCCCAAATATCAACACGAAAGTTCTTGAAATGTGATTTACTAGAAATTTCATGCAAAGAAAAAGGTAATCCAGTAAGGGACAAATCACACAATTGTGTATTACAAAACTTATTCTTATCCAATGGAACTAAAACAGACATTTTATTTGAAGAGTGTCCAAGGCATTGATCCCAACGATGGAGGGCAAGGAAATGATTGAATTGCACGAAGATTTCTATGGTTTATCAAGGTAGTAGAGGCCCTCCCATTTAGTTCCCGTCCCAATCATCTTCCCCAAGTGTAGGTACCGTATCATAAAAAATGAGGACCCCTAGAGGATTTTACCCTAAAATACGTGCATTTTCTCTATTAAACCGTAAGCTTAAGATTTAAGTACCTTGACAATTATCAATTTACTAAGAAATCGAGTATAAAGTCTGCTAAATTATGGAGTTTGACTTCTATTTTTTAAAACTCATTTTTCCTTAATAAAATAGTTTTGGATGGAGTACCATAATTTTCTCCTAATTTTTGATTACATACTCTCCAGAAATCACTTTTCACAATAATCATCCTAGAAAAATCTTTACTAAACAGGATGAAAATAGGACAAGATATAAAGTGTTGTGAGCAAAATCACAACTTTAAGCAGAGGCTGATGACTAAGCTCCGTAAGTGGTGAATATAACTACCCAATACCGAGGAATAGGCTAACCATTCCTCCTTCGTTATGGTCGATGTCATTATATTGTATTTCACTAATTCTGCCCCTATTTATATTAGACGCCAACTATAAAAGAACCTCATTGCATACCCATGTGTCTATGCATACTCACACATCAATACTAGAGGCACAATTAAAGCGAAAGATGTCTCAATAGTTGAAGCATTATTTAGCAACGAAATACGCAAAATTCAAAAACTTGGCTAAGAACACAATTAAAAGCCTCGACCACTAAAATGTTTAAAGGTCTCAATAAGTCTCCGAGAGTTGGATATAAGCAAAAGCATTAACACAGATTTTGAAACAAGTAACATTGATTCCAATGCAATAAACATATGCATGCACACAACAAATTGCTCGATGAACATCGCAAAGGACAAACATCAGCAAAATCTTGAAAATTAACTTAATCCTGACTTTCAACATAATGATGAGGAATGTCAGTTCACAAAAATGACTAAAAATCTTTGAAATTGTCTTCAACATGGTCGTTTGCACAAATGAAAAAGTATTAAACCAATTCCGGCCAAATAACCGGCTCAATTAGTCTATTATGTGGTCGTACAATTGAGAATATGTTGGTGGTGAAAACTTCGATACTTAAATTATTTAGTTGTGCAGTCTAATTATTTTCGGATCTTGTACATAGAATCTTATTGAGGATAATCTAGAAATTTCTCACTTAGAATTTTAGTTTTACCGTAATTTTTTTTTTTTTTTATAAATAAGGAGCCATGCTGGGAAGAGAAAATAGAGTATGTGACTTTCTCTTGTAAATTTTTTTTATCATAGTAAATTATTACAATGCGTGAACTAGGACGAATCTCTTATTGAATCAAATATCTATAAATCTTGCATGTTTATTTTCTTTCGATGATTTTATTGCTTTTTATAGTATATGATTAGGGTTTTTAAATCCGAAAACTTATATTTTGATCATAAATAATTTGTTCACAATCAATGTATAAGGGTTGACATCTTATACTGGAAGGTTGTAGTGTTGACTGATTCACTATTTAGGTCTATAATTTATCCTTATTACAGATATAGTTAAAGTTGACATTAGTGTACTTGGAGTGTATTGAACGGACCATGTGTCAAGTATAATTCTATAGTATGACCGTACAAAAAATTAAATTTTACTTGTGTGTGTGTGTGTGTGTGTGTGTGTATCAATGAGTATGGATGTCAAAAGGGCTCGGCTCGTCGAAATAGGGCTCGTGGGTGGCTCAATTTGCTTGAGCTAAGCGGGCCTCACTGGGAGGCGAGCCTTAAATAGTAACGAGCCACGAGCCAACCAAAACGGTCACTTTTTAAAAAAGTGACTGTTTTGGTCACTTTTTCAATGACCGCCCGGTCATTGGAATTTTTTTCCCTTCTACTATAAATACCCCTCAACTCCCCCCCTTTTTTTCATATAAATTACTCAATCACCACTTCAACTCTCTCAAGTCTCAACTCTCTTATAGAGTTTTTACTCTCTTGTGCTGCAAAACATACAATATCGATTCAATTTTTACAGTTTATTAGTTACAATTTCAATTCATCTAATTCTCAGTTCTCACAATCTCACTACATTTATATTTTTCTAGTTATTATATTTGGATTTCACCATAAACAATCAAACAAATGGACCAAAGCTAATTTGTTGAGAGCTTATTCAATATGAGATGTGGGCCACGTCATGGCGAATCGCCTAGGACGTCGCAGAGTCAATTTTCAAATGAATTTGCCGGTCTAAATGACATACCCATACCTAAAGATGTTCACATTCATGGTTAGGGAAGCCACAATCCAATTGATTTGGATAATATTAACGTTTCCAAAGCGGAACATGAGGACGAAGATGTCGAATTAAACATCCCAAATGAAAGGGGAAAGCGAAAGGGCAAAAAACAAGCAAAATATTGC